CCTGGTGGCATAGTGGTTAAGTTTGGGTGCTCCGCTTGGGCAGCCCTGGGTTCGCAGGTTCGGATCCCAGGCATGGACCTATGCACCGCTCATCAAACCACGCTGTTGCAGGCATCCCACATATAAGGTAGAGGAAGAAGGGCATGGATGTTAGCCCAGGGCCAATCTTCCTCAGCAAAAAGAGGAGGATTGGCAACAGATGTTAGCTCAAGGCTAATCTTCCTTACCAAAAAAACACAAAAATACACAGTTTGTAAATGGGGAATAGAGAATTTGGCTGGTCTTCATCCCCAGTTCTTCGGAGCAAACTCTAAACCCATGGAATTTCCCGAATGGTAGGAGTGTCTTTGTTAGTCACAGCAGGTCCCCAGGACCACACCCGATAGTTTATGCCAATGAGATGACTCATGCAGGCCCCTAGATAGTTTGTGACAATGAGATGACTCAGCATGGGGGCAGGACACTCTAGAAAGACCCTATGACTAGAAGGTGGGGACTTGGGATCACCTGATATCAGCCTGGGGAGGAAAGGGGGCTGGAGATGGGGTTCAATCATACGGCCGATGATTCAATCAATCATGGCTCTATAATGAAACCACAAGAAAACCTCCATAGACTCCGAAGCTCTGGTGAGCTTCCTGGTTGGTGACACACAATGGTGTGCTGGGAAGGTGACAAATCCTGAGGACACAGAAGTTTTTGGAACCTCCTAGACCTTGCTCTGTGCATCTCTCCTTTTGGCCGGTCCTGATTTGTATTCTTTATAATACATCTGCAGTTGTAAGTATAACCTTCCTGAGTTCTGCGAGTTGGTCTAGTGAAGTATCAAACCTGAAGGGGAAGTGGGAACCCCCAAATTCACAGCCAGTTGGTCAATCACCGCTACGTAACATAGCCTCAATAAAAACTCTGGACACCAAAGTTTGAGTGAGCGTCCCTGGTTGGCAATACTCTTTAGGAATTGTCACACTCTGATGCTGGGAGGATAATGCATCCCTGAGGATGACAAGAGCTTCACGTTTAGAAACATCCCTGACTTCACTCTATGCATCGCTTCTAATTTGTATCCTCTTGTTACAATAAAACTGTAACTGTGAGTATAGTGCTTTTCTGAGTTCTCTGATGGTGATTTATTAAACTTGAGGGGCTCTGTAGGGACTCCCAACTTGTAGCTAGCAGGTCTCAAGTGGGGGTGGCCCTGTGGACCCCCAAACTTGCAGCTGCTATCTGGAATGAGGGCATCTTGTGAAGAACTATGTGCTCAGATTCTGCAGTTTGGCACACTCATTGCAGTAAGAAACAACACATACACACAAAGATACATATAAAACATAAGGTGGGAAAGCTCACAAGACAGGAGGAGGGTGAAGAGGGTCTTGGGCACAAATTTAATGGTGTGCCAAAACCCTTAGTTATCAGGATTATATACAATTTTAATGCAATTTTTTTTAAAAAAACTAAAAATTAATGCAATAATCCGTGATGAACAAAATACCAAAATTCAAACTAAAGACAGCACCCCACAGGACTGGGATGACTATGAGGCCACGTGACTCACGCAAGTGAAGGGTCAACTCCCATATAGATATGTTTGCATTAATTCTGAGTTTTTAAAATATTGTTTGTCTTGATTACCGAGGTTTTTGGCTTCCCTTTAAATTTTTCTCTTGAGGCAAATACTTCATTTGCCTTACCCTAGTCTCAGCCCAGGGTAGGAGGGGACTAGGCACTAGGAATGGGGAAAAATGGATTTAAAATTATGCAATAAAACAAGACAAAGGCCTTATAACAATGTGCCAGCAAACGTGTCATATGATGAATGCAACCTCTTTCACCTCTGATCTAAATTAAAAGTAAAAAATAAACCATATTTGATACAGAATCTTGAGTTTGCTCCCACTTGATTCACTCAACCAGTATGTGTGACCAAGAAAATTCTTCTTCTTTTTTAAAGGAAAGGAATTTTTCTTTTTTCTTTTCCTTGGCTGGGAAAGATTCGCCCGGAGCTAACATCTGTTGCCAATCTTCCTCTCTCTCTTTTTTTTTTCCTCCCCAAAGCCCCAGTACCTAGGTGTATATTCCAGTTGTAAGTCCTTTCCAGTTCTTCTATGTGAGCCTCCACCACAGCATGGCTACTGACAGATGAGTGCTGTGGTTCTGCACCTGGGAACTGAACCTGGGCTGCTCAAGTGGAGCACCGCCAGACTTTAACCACTAGGCCACCAGGGTTGGCTCAGGAAAATTCTTTACTAGTACTTTTTACCTTTGCAATTTTTTTTTGCAAGTGAAACAAAAAGAGGACCTATAGATGATTCATTTCTTCTAAAAAGTAAGGCAAAATCTTTATTTTTCGAGTTCCCCGAGGGCTCCTCCCACTCAGGCCTCATCTGAGGCCTGGGGCAGAGGAATGGTAGCCAATGAGGATGACAAAGCGGGGGCTAACAGGGGCCAGACCATGCCAGCCCCTGAAGGCTCTGGTGACAAGTTCGTCCTTTATCCTCAGAGTTGTGGAAAGCCATCAACGGTTTTTAAGCAGAAAAGGGACTTCACCCAAGTCCTCCCCTGATCCACACGAGCAGAGGTCCAGCCCCTCCACAGAGCATCTCAGAATCCTACTGTCACCCAAAGGGACACCCTTCTCGATCTCCACACAAAATGCTGTCCCAGGCACACCCATGCATGGGGTTTATTGACGGTGGGGTTTGCCAAAAAGAGTCAACTTCAAAGTAAGGGTTCCAGCCTTGACCTTTCAGCATCCTGGTCTCTAAAGACCCTCCCCGTCTCCCACCCCTCTTCGCCGGGAGAGGCCCCGCCTGCAGGGCACACTGCCGATCCTCTCTCCTCCTCTCCATCACCTCCCTCCTCCTCCACCCCTGTCTCCTGGGGAGGCCCCCAGGGGCCCCCACCCTTCTCACTATTGAGGGCAGCGATCCACTGCCTCCACCCCCACCACCAAGCCCCACCGCACGCCCCGCTCGGCGGATCTGCAGACCCAGAGGCGCCTCCCCCCGCGGACAGCGCTCACCCTCCTCCGCCCGCCGCGTGAGGACCAGAGGAGGGCGGGGCAGCGCGGGGCCGGGCGGAGACCGGTGCCGGGAAGCAGAGCGGCGTTCACGACAGTCCAGTGCGCCTGCGCGCGCCGCGCCTCGCGGAGCGCTCGGTGTCGGCTCCGCGACTCCCTCCCGCGAGGCTCCTGCTCTGTGGCGAGTTACCGCCCCAGCGAGGCCTCTCTCGGCCAGCGGATGGCAAACAAACGCCTCCCAAGCACTCTGTCCTCTTATCCCGGTTTATTCACCTTCATGGCGTGTAATGCCCCCGTGCAAATACGAAACACATACGTGCTTATTGTCTTTCTCCCTTTCTACAGGAGACGGACACGCATTGACTTGTTCATTGCTGCAGTCTGGGAACCTAGGACAGTGCCTGGCACAGAGTGGTGCGCAACAAGCGTTTGTTGAATGAATGAATGAATGAATGTCCAGGGGAGAGAGGATAGCAGCTTGGGGCTAAGGTGGTGGCAATTAAGATGGAGAAGAACTCAGCCACTGCAACTCACCCAGACACACATCTGATTTGCCTCCAACACTTTGAGTATGAACATTTTCAAACATGTAGCAAAGTTAAAAGAAATTTACAACCAACATCAATATATTGGCTACCTAGACTCCACCATTCACATTTTATTATATTTGCTTTATCACGTGTCTGTTGACCTTCCATCCATCCGTCCACCCATCCATCCATCTGTCCAACCATCTGTCCATTCATCCAGCCATCCACCCACCCATCCAAATGACAGAAACTCTAACTTGAACCAGCTTGAGTGAAGGAAGTTATGGGCTTGCCTAAGTGAAAAAGGGTTGGGGTAGGAAGGCCTTCAGGCATTGCTGAAGTCAGGAGTCCAAGTGATAGCATCAGACACTACTGTCTGTTTCTTGGCTACTTGAATTGGCTTCATTCTCAAGGCTCCATGTAGTGTCAAGTCAGTACCCAGCTAGGAAAAGAAATCATTCCAGATGCTTCAGAGGGTAGTAAACGTAGGGAATTGGTTTCATGGGTGTTACCGAACCAGGTTCGTTTTGCCTGCCGACCAGAAAGCCAATCACCAAGACGACGGGATTCCAGCAGGAGAGGGTTTAATCACAAGGCAGCCAAGTGAGGAAACAGGAGAAGAAAACTCAAATCCGCCTCCCTGAAAATAGGGACTCAGGGATATTTATGGGGAAGGGGGCAAGGTGGTCTGAAATGTGGAGATAGGTGATTGGAGGTGAGGTAATTGATGAGCTGTGCAAGAGTAGTCAGACTTCATGCCTCTTCATAAGACACATGTTCACAAAACGGCAGCATTCGTATGACCCGAGCATTGAGTTTTTAGCCTCTTGACGTCAAAAGGTCGCTTATCAGACATCTGCTCGGGCTCAGTTGATGGGTTGGTGGTCTCAACCGGCCTGAAGTGGACAAGGGGCTCTAATTCCTGAAAAACAGCCCAAACATCCATTACCATGGTGACCCAGGCTGTAAGGAGAAGTTATCTAGTGGGAGTCAGATAGCATATTGCCTAAACAGCACAATTAACAATGGGCAGAGAAACAACTAAAACTCAACCCAACCACATCTTCCCATTTAAAGTTAAACCACACCCATGCCCACCTTCACTTCCAATACAACCCAACCCCAATCGTCATGTTTGCCGCATCCCAAACAGAATTTACCCCCATCCCCAATTCAACCCTGACATATTTCCCATCCAACATCAAACCAAACCCGTTCCCATTCTCAACTCCAGCCTGTGCCATCCCAAACCAACCACCACATCGTCCACCCCAAACCCAACCCAACCCCATCACCATCTCTAACCCCAACTCCAACCTCACTCCTATTCTAACTGCGCTTCCTTCTCCAGCCCCACACCTATCCCGGGCATCTCCTCTGGCCCAAAGCAAGCAAGACCCGACCCATCCCCACTGCCAACCCTCTCCCCTCCCGCGGCTCTGACCTCACAGGAGTTCGTGCCTCCGCCCTCCACGCCTGCACACACCATGGTGTCCATCAGGCACCCCGGGTAGTCCTTGCTACAAGACGCGGCCGAGATAATGCTGATGTTGGCACAATGCAACTTATCTGGGAGACTCACTGGGGAGGACAGCGCATCCATCAATTTTCAGGCCCTTGTCCCCTCCGCCCAAGAGCCCTGGAGAATAGGGCCCCCGGTGGCCCGACATCCAGCTCCATCCTTTCACGCCCCTTGTGACTCTGGGCTCCCCGTGGTCCTAGACTCGCTGCCAGACACCAGGCCCCAGCCGGACACCACACAGGCCTCTCCAGCTTGGGGGCAGCGCGTGGGCAGTGCCACGAGGCGCACTTCCGGGGAGAGGAGCGCGGGCCGGCTCAGTCGCAGCAACATTACGTCATGGAGACGGCCGCGCGCTACGTAACCCGGATGTGGGATGAAGCGCGAAACAGCCCGTAGTTGCTCTGGGCCCTCGCGCTTGCGCAGATTGTGCTCGCCCAGCCGCACTCGCATGGAGCTGTGCGGGCGAGTGATTACCCGCAAGTGGAGTGAGGAGTAGATAGGAAAGTCGAAGAGCAGGCTGCCTGGGGTCCCCTGCCCCTTTGGGAATCTGGGTATCCCGTTGCCCTCTCCTCAAGGCCCTGAAGCCAATAGTGTCAGCCCCTGCCCCTCGGGGACCAAGGTGTCCAGAGTCATGCACACACTTTGAACTCACACCCTGGCTTCAGCTCTTTCTTTCTCCGAATCCAAGATCCTCAGATCCCAAGACCCCCTTAGACCCTCTCCACCATGCCCCCTCGGGACCTTGAGCCCTGCCTTCATACCGGGTTTGGCAGTGGGCTGCAGACAGCACCCAGCCTGGGGAGATGAGGGAAGCACCGCAGTTAAAACGTCCACGCTCGAAGAGGGCCACTTGCCACGGCTGGGAGTGGGGTGCACACGCCTCACCTCTCGGTATCTTGTCACTGCCGTCCTGCGAGGCTGGGAGAGGGGCCAGAGGCTGGTGCCTGAGGACAGAGTCCTTTTCCTCATACCCTACGCCCTCCTTGCACCCTGCCCTCACTACATATTTTTCACCCGTGTCTTCCCTTAAGACGTCCCTGGTGTTGATTTTTAAGCACTGCCTTCTCTCTAGCTTTTACAACTGCTGCTTGTTTTCTCCAGAACCGTCCCCCTGCCCTCGCCCCCCGACCCCATTCGCTGCAGGACTCTGGGAGAGAGAGGAATTGAGAGGACGAGAGGGCAAGAAGTCCTCTGTGATAGGGAGTGGAGGCAGGGACAATGGATACAGGTCCAGACAGGTGGTCACTTGGAACCAGCCATTCAAGTTCACTGAGCTGTCACAGACATCAAATGGATGTGGCCATTCAGTATGAATGACACACAGTCTTGGCTGCAGAGTCTGGACATCTCAGCCAAATGCAATGTGTCATACAAGGACACAGATGCGGCCGCACAAGGTCGTGGGCAAACATACAGCCACAACCAGCCTTCCAAACTTAGGAACTGATAGGGAAACGCTTTAAGCAGAAACCCGCTTGCGCGCACATGGGTTGCAGCTTCAAGAATCATAGCACAGACGTGCATATGTGGGTGTGAATACGGACAGTTAAGACGGGCGTGCACACACACAAAAACACATTCACAGACTCATATTTGGACGTAGAAGTTCAGACCTAAATTTACCGTGTGGGTCTGCATATACTAGGTCCAGATGCGCACACTTGCCCATGGGGTCTGAACACATAAGGTGGGGTCCTTAATAAGGGTACTAAGGTTGGGTCCTTAATAAGGGTACGTGGGGAGAGACACCGATATGCATTCAGGCCCCCAGAGACTCGTTCACACATATGAGTCTATCATATAGTGGTTAAATCTGGAGTGATAAAGTCCCCTGAGCCCAAACATATTATCTGTGAGACTTTGAGCAAAATATTGGACCTCTCTGTGCTTCTGTTTCCTCATCGGTAAAATGGGATTGTTGTAAGAATTAAATAGGTGTGTGTGTATGTGTGGATGTGGTGCCTGGCACATTGTAACTGCCTAATAAATATGAGTTATTTTAAACAAAGGAGACATTTATTTATGCATACATACATGTGGGTGTTCAGGTTGTGGACTCAAATACGGCCAAAGTAAGCCAGACATACCTGCAGACCTGGATGAAGATAGCCAAGATCAAAACTGTGATTCATCACTAAGCCTCTTTGTGGAGATTCAAACTTATAGACACCGACCCAGAGGCCAACACTCAGATGTGGACCCACTAGATCAGACCCCAGGGCGACACCTGGACACAGGGCTGGGCATTCAAGATCAAAGACACACAACTAGAGACACAGGTAGCTAGGACAGGACATGTTTATCCATTTCTAGATCAGCCGCTAAGTCCGTCACTTGATTCCAAGGTCACTCATGGGGTTTGGTGTCTGGGGACCTGGTTCACAAAGGTGGGAAGAATGTGGACACACAGGGCCTTGCCCACTCACCACACACCCACACACACAGAACTGCACCACGCACAGGGACATAAACAGAGATGTTTCAAGGTCACAAGACTACGATCCCCTACACTGGGCAATGTGGATATGTCCCCTCAAGGTCACAGCCAGGCACACAGACACCCACATTGGGCCAGGATTTGCACAGACAGACCAAATGCCCACAGTCTGCCTTCCAGGGTGAGGAACTGGAAGGCGGATTTGTTGGACGAGGGGCTTAACAAGAAAAGGGTGGGGCGTCCTGCAAAGAACGCAAAGAGAGTATGGGCTGAACAGCTGGGCACCGAGGCTGCACTCAGCCAGTCCAAGCCGGACGAGGGGAGGCCCTAGCTGGGCGCAGCGGGCAGGCAGGAGGCAGGGAGGAGACGGTACGGAGAGGACCTGAGGGGAGGCTGGCAGCAAGTGGCGGGGGATGAGGTGCCCCAGGGACGAGGGTGATGTGGTGGGGTCAATGAAAATCCATCCTCGACTTCTCCAGGGTACAGGCATCAGGTTACAATTAATTTCTCCACAGGAGGTGGCTGAACACCAGGTCTAGAGTTCTCCTGCCACTCAAGGTCACCTTGACCTAGTGGCTTTCCCTCTCTGAGCCGCAGCCCCCTCGCCTGTCAATTGAGGCCAGTAGAGCCCACCCACAGAGGATTAGATGAGCATCCTAGTGCTGGGCCCTGTGCCTGGTATATACTAAGTGCCCGGCAATGCTAACACACCCTTACAGGGCACCACCCCGGGCCACACACCTTCTAGTGCCCACACGTCTATTGTTAGTGTCCATGGTACAATTGGACAAGCTGAGTCACAGAGACGGTGGGGAACTAGAAAGTGGCAGAGGTGGGATTCGAACCGAGAGTCTGTGTTCTTGGCCTCTCAATGCTTGTTTAATGCTTATTATGAGCTTTACCCACATTACGCTGTTGAAACTTCATCATTATTGTCGCAGGTAGGTGCCATCTTCTAGAGAAGGCATTTGAAGCCCAGAGAGGGGAAGTAGTTTCCTCAAGGTCACACAGCAAGGAAGGGGCAGCCCCAGAACTCAAACTCAGGTCTGTGTCGCCCCAGGGCTGTGTTCATTGTTGTGGGGACTCCAGAGCAGCCCCAGGCCCCTGACAGCTCTTGGGGTGGGGTAAGAACTCAGGGATGAGGTGGAGGCGGGAGTGAGGGAGGGATCATCACATGGTCTCCAGGTCAGAGAGGGGCTGGCAGATTGCAGGGCCCACATATGCTCGGGATGGAGGAGTAAGGTGGCACCGCACTCCCACAGCCCCGGACCTGACCTGGCCCCGCTCACCTGCAGACATCAGCAGGAAGGAGAAGGTGAGGAGAAGCCACATTGTGGAGGAGGGACCAGGGCTCTACTGAAGTCTGGGGAGGGGAGAGAATGAACCAGGGTGAGGCTGGACCCTCCTGTCCCCACCTGGATACCTCTAGACACAAACTCATTCCACCTGCTGCTTAAGAAACCTGTCTTCAACATCCTTATTCTGCACCCATGACTTGCTCTTCCTCCCAGGTTGCCCATCTCTGAAGGATCTGCTGTTCCTCCAGGCTCCAGGACAGACCCCCAGCCCGTCAGACCCCAGCACCATCCCACTTGTCCCCTGGATCTCTCTCCATCCCCAAAGCCTGGCTCAGGATACATTCTCTCCCCAGACGCTATCCCAGGCTCCTATCTGGCCTCATGGGTCCCCCCCACCAATCTGTCCCTCCACTCATGTCCCCACCCCCCAGCCTGTCCCCCTATGTGGCCCTGCAGGGTCTTTCTACACCCAGAGTTGGCCATGTTCCCTTCCTGCTCACAGCCATCATGGATCTCCAGCACTCCCAGTATAAGGTCCAAGGTCGCAGCCCCCAGCCTCACTTTTGTGGACGGGAGTGACCTCTCCCCTTCCAGCCCCTCTGGCCAGGTCTCTCGTGACCTTGCTGTTCTAGACACAGCCGATGCTTCCATTTTCCTTCCTGCAATTTCATGCCTCTGTGCCTTTGCTCAGGCCGTTCTTCCTCCCAGGTATGCCACTCCCTTCAAAGTCCACTTCCTCCTTGAGGCTTTTTCTGACCTCCCCCTGTCAGTGATGTCTGCCTCCCGCAGCAGACTGGGAACTCCCTGAGGGCAGGCTCTGCGTGGGTGGACTCTGGATCCCCAGCACTGCCAGCTGCAGGGTCCTGTCCTTGGCAAGCTTTGGGAATGAATTAAAGTCCTTCCTCCCTCCCCCTTCCAAATTCATATGTGCCCTCTGAGGCTCAGCCCCCACCTCTTCTGAGAGGCGCCGATACCTTACAGGTATCTCTTCTGGGTCCCACAGCACAGATCCCCAGGAATGCTCAGGTTGGGTCTTTTCTGTGTCTCCACCCTATAATCTGGAATTTGGGGTCTGGAATGTCAAAACTGGGTTCTAGAGTCATGCTTCTTGTGTCTGGAGTAGGGTTCTGGATCTTGGATTCTGGACCTAGATCTAGATCCCCTATTCTGGATTCTGAACACTCAATTCTGGATTCTAGTTTTTTGAATCTCTGATTCTGGATTTTGGACAGTGGATTTTGGATCTAGACTCCCAATTTTGGGTCTTGGATTCTGGACCACCCAATTCTAGATTCTGGATCATGGATTCTAGATCTTAATCTCTGGTTCTGGATTCTGGATCCAGATCTCTGGTTCTGGATCTTTGATTCTGAACCCCAATTCTGGATTCTCAGTTTCGGGGTCTAGAGTTGGGCATTCATGACCTGAAGTCTAGAATGTGGATTTTGGAGTGTGAGTTCTGAAGTTTTGTTTTGGAATCTGGATCCTGGAGTTTGGCCTTCGAATGACAAGTCTCAGGCTTGGATTCTAGATCCTGGGCCTTCACATCTAGAGTCCAGACTAGGATTCTGAAGTCTGGTGTTTGGAATCCGGGACTCGAGGTCAGAAACCTTCACACCTGCTGTGTGAAGCCTGGGGCCTGGGATATGAATGGTAGATTTTGGATTTTGAGTTTTGGGGCTTGGATTCTAGAGTCTGGGTCTTGATTCTGAGGTTTCATGGGTTGACTTTGGATTGTGAAATCTGGAGTTTCAAATATGCATTGTGCATTTAAGAGGCTGGGCAAGGAGACATGGGCCTTGCTTCCACGATTCTGAGATTCCTAGACCCTTGACTCTAGAGTATGAATTTAGAGACTGAGAGACTGGAGCCTTTATTCTGGATCCTGCAGTCTTGATTCTGGGTTCTGAGGCTTGAAATATGGATTCTGCTTTTTGAGGCTGGATATCATCAGTAAGATGACCCAAGGCTTTGGGAATTTGAAGTTGTCTTCCAGTATCTCAAGACCATAGAGGGCCCTGAACAATTATGTAGAGTCTATCTTGGCTTGTTTAACTAGTGAGGGGACACAGAGAGCAGTAGGAATTGACCTCAGAACACCCAGTGAAGGATGAGTCCTATTATAAGTATGGTCCCTCCCTGTGTCTGGAAAGGCATCACCTTTATGGGAAGAGGCTGTTTAGGAGATCATTGCCCAGTGCCCAGGGGTCCCTGGACCCTGATTTCCCCATAGATAATATGGGAGAATGATGGCCTGTAAATGCCAGATGTTTTTCAGACATTCCAGAACCACAGACCCTCCGTTATTCCAGAACCCTAGGGTTCCAGTCATTCTAGAACCACAGACCCTCAAAATCTGTAGAATACCAGACCTTCTAGAATCTCAGGCCCTAAGACATTCTGGAAGTCTAGGTCCTCAGACACTCTAGAACCCAAGATGTAACAATAGTCTAGAACCTCAGATCTCCAGACACCCTAGACCCCTAGATCTCCAGATGTTCTGGAACCCCCAGACCTTGAGGCAGTCTGGATTCCCGGGCTGAGAGCTATTCTAGAACTCCTTTGTTCCTTCATCTCGCCTCAAATTTGTACTCAAAGTCACAGTAGGCCACAGCTTCAGCTGAGCAGTCGCTGTTTACATGATCTCATTTATCCTCTGGACATTTATCCTCATTTATCTTCAGGTGGTTATTATGGCTTTCTCCCTAATATGGAGGAAACTGAGGCCAAGAGAAGGGCATCACAGGGAAAGGCTACACAAAGGGCAAGAGGAAATCAGTGTCCTGACTCTGGGGACACCTGGTTGGCCCTTCGCCCCCAGCCCTGGAGCCACCTCCCTCTGTTGGGCGTGGGTGGTGGCGAGGGGAAGGAAGTGAGCCACCGGGGTGGCTTCCGAGGTGCCAGGCTAAGCGCTTTCCATCATAGTCGCACGTGGTCCTCCCACTAACGCACAGAGGCAGGTACTGTCGGCGTCCCCAAGACATAGATGGGGACACTGAGCGCTTGGGGGATCCATGGGAGGGCGCCCTGCCCCCATACAGTGACGTCAGCGCCCCTCCTCCCGCCCCCTCTTTCGAATCATACCTGCGATCCCGGGGCATATCCCCAGATGTCCTTTACCTCCACAGCGGCCTGAGTTCCACCTTCTGCCTTGCTCCTCCTCCTCCCCCAAGTCTTTCATCAACTCCCGGGGTTCCATCACCAGCCACGCAGCTCTCCTCATCTGACCCCGAGCTCCTGCCTAGGGCGGCCACCTGCTCCTGGGAACACCCCTCCCCAGTGTCCCCAGGCCTCTCTCACTCACTGTGAAAACTAGCAGAATCTCTGGTCCTGGCCCCTCATCACCACCAAACCCTGGGGTCCTTTGTCAGCCTCTCCTGCTGGTGCCAGGGCCTGGGGAAGCGAGTAGGTGAGGCAGGTCTGTCAATCTGCAAAGAGATGGAGAAGTGGGTGGGATATCAGAGCCAGAGATGGATAAAGGAAGAGTCAGAGAAAGGGAGGCAGAGGCAGAGATAGAAGGACAGAGAGACAGAGAGGGAGACTCAGTGGGCATCTAACCGAAGTAGACTGAGAGAGACAGACAGAGGGAGAAAGATAGAGGAAAGAAAGAGGAGCAGACATAGAAAGACAGAGAGACAGAGAGGAGCCCAGAGAAAGGAGAAGAGAGGAAGAGGGAGAGGAAGGGGTAAGGAGAGAGGGGAGGAGAAAGGGAGGGAAAGGGAGAGGCAGGAAAGGAGGGAAAGAGGGAGGGAAGGAGAGGGCCTGAGATGGCCCTCAGAGACAGAGGCAGGGGTCGACCAGGTGTGTGGAGTATTCAGCTTCTAAAAAAATAGAATACAAGATTACTCGTGTAAACTTAGATATGAACCTGATTATTCTAATGAGAAAAGAAATAAGAAATATAAATAGAAATCTAAACGTGAAAAAGAGTAATAACAAATGACATGTTTAAAAGAGTATACAGGGGGCCGGCCTGGTGGCACAAGCGGTTAAATGCGCATGCTCCGCTATGGCAGCCCGGGGTTTGCCGGTTCGGATCCCGGGCGCACACCGATGCACGGCTTGTCAAGCTGTGCTGTGGCGGCTTCCCATATAAAGTGGAGAAAGATGGGTAAGGATGTTAGCCCAGGGCCAGTCTTCCTCAGCAAAGAGAGGAAGATTGGCAGATGTTAGTTTAGGTCTGATCTTCCTCACACACACAAAAATAAATAAATAAAAATATCATAAATAAAAAGTAACATAAGTTATGTTATTTTAAGGCCTTTTTAATTAAAGTTGGGTGCAATTTAAATGGACCTTCTTTTTTCAGTTAAAACATTCCTGAACTTATGCAAAAAAAAAAAAAAAATATGTGTTCATAAGATGACGACGATAACCCTCACAGCATATGCTCATGGTTTTTCATCAGTGTGTTGTAGCCATGTCATTTCCAAGTGTTGGATGTGGAATAAAAAATGTCTTTTACTTCTAAAAAAATAAATAAATAAATAAATAAATAAATAAATAAATAAATAAATAAAAATAAAAGAGTATACAATACCAAAATCATCACAAAATCCGGAAAATGCATAATATTTTAATTAATTAATTGCCTAAAATGTCTCTATGTTGTTTCTTCCCTACACTTTTTGTCTTCATACTCTTTGATTACCAATTCCTATGATCAAATGGTTTTGTAGTATCATTTTCTAGAAGAGAGACAAATAATTCAGTCTTTCTTCTATCATAGTAGGTCAAAATTTGGTTTTTATTATTGATGCTTAAAAACATTTGAAGGTGAATACCACCTAATGGTCAAAGAATGACATGGAAAGGTATTTTACACTGTATCTCAAGCACTAGAACAATGCCTGGTAAAAGAAAATATTGTATCAGTAAGATATTATAATAATAATGAAGATATGTGCCCCTGATAATATGATCTCAAAATATAAAGCAATTACGATTTACAAAAATAGAATGTGTACTAGTCTACAAAGAAAGCCTCAATAATTCCCCATGATCCAACATCATGGAGACTGTGTTCTTTCACCA